CAATTGGTGACATATATTTCTGTCTTTATTTTTCATCCCTAATAGTTGAATTATTTTTCAAAATCAATTACATTGAAAATTTAATTTTTACCGAAAACTAATATTAATTATAATCTAATATTCTTATAGGAAATCCAACTGACACAAAGTATAAAGTAGCCATACTAAATGAAAATAAAGATCAAATCAAATCCAACCATTGCAATACAATAAGTTTTTACGTGAATTCATAAAAAATAACAAAATGTATGAGATAACAAGCAATATTCACAAATGAAGATAAGAAAATGAAATATGCATACTATCAATTATCATCATGCAACTGAGCATCACTATAATCATCACTCTGTGCATCTAGTGCCGAAGCAGTAGTAGTGGAGGTGCGCACATCTCCTCCTAAACTAGCCATCAACATCGCCAGCTGCTCTTTCATAATTGCCATCTCTCGGTCTGTTTTTTCTTTCATAATTGCCATCTCTTTGTCTGTTTTCTTTTTCATAACAGTCTTTTGTTGTTGCGTGTTCTCATATTTATGCTTCAGCTACTCATTTTGGCTGGATAAGCTGGTGACCAAGTCTCTCATGTGATCATACTCATCTGTGGAGACTCCTGACAAGCTAGCAGAAATCTTTGTGGACTAATAATTCCACGCCTCTGCACCTAAACCATATATTCGACCTTTCTTGTTCATACCACCAACAGCCTGCAATAATAGCACTTCATCAGATTGACATGTGGATGCCTCTGCCCCAGCCTCCAATGCATTATCACGATCAGTCCTTCGTTTCAAAAAGTCCTCCTAAAATTACAAAAATTACATTAGTTATCACTTAAATTTGATTTAATGTCAAATAAATTTTTTTTCTCAAATATCACAAACTTACAGCATATCCCTTTGCCCTCTCATTAACCCATAAGCCATCTGATTTAACTAAGTGCATCTTCTTAAATACCTCCTAAGATAATACTCTGGATTTATAATAGGATCCATCCTCTACAATACAAAAGGTTATCCAAACATCCATAATGAAAATAAGAAACCATAGTTTTTAGTTGTACAATTTTTAATTCAAATTACTTACCAATCTCTTCTTAATTTCTGTTGCTGGGATAGAACCTCCAACATGTGCTGGTCCTTCGTATTTTGATCTATTTTGTTTGTTTTTCTGATACCTTCTTTGCCAACTTGCTAAGGCCCATTTCTCCTGCAGCTGTGGTAAAATATCTGATTTCATCCATGTCCCTCTCTCCGTACCTACCCGGACCTTGTGCAAATGATGTGACAATAAATATTATGCTTTGTGATGAAATGTCTTTTGCATAAGAACCTCATGCTGTGGAACACATTTATACATTTTCTGCATATACAGATCATATAACAATTAACAAGGTGATTGATTAATGAGTAGTGTATACTGATATAAAATAAATGTACATACAAAATTAAACAATTATCACATACCCTAAATTGTTTATACCAGTTGTCTCCCACTGCCTTGCGAACCTCTCCATATGACAACCAACTTGTATTAAAGTTACTTTTTACGATGTCAGTTATTTCTCGCACCACATATGAAGGGTCAAACTTGTGATCACAAACACAAACAATTAGAAACTTGTTTACAAAGAAGAACTTAATTAACTACACGAATACAAAAAGCATTCAACGCTTACGCCGTTCCCATGGGGCGTATCCATATCAACTCATCAGCAGGATCTTTGCTCCCCCACACGGGAAGCATCAATGCACCACTAGACGTTGTCGCAGTGAAAGAGTCAACACCAGGTGTAGGGATGGGTGGTGGGCTAGCTACCTATGTGTATCAATTCAAAAACAATTTATATGTCATTTATATAAGACAAATACTTAAAACATTTAAGTTCATGGAAAAACCTGATTTGCCTCATCTGTAGAGGCAGCAGCATGCTCTGGAGTCGGGGTAGAAAGCCTAAATGATGAAGGATTAGGCTGCGAGTGTGGAGTCGACTGCAGTGAAGGGGACTTAACTCTCATTCCCCCTCGAGCTATGCCCCTACGCCTATTAATACCTCTACTTGTATGTCTATTTTGCGACATCTACATACATGAAATAGTAAAAACCTGTGATTCTAATAATACAAAAAAGAATAGAGTTGAATACATACAATATTAATATATTATCTAACTAAATGCAATAGCAGTACAGTAAGACTTAAGAAATTCATAATGGAGATGGATAAATAGTCATCTCTATTAGAGATAGATTTAAAGACCAAAAAATTGTCATCTCTGTTAGAGACAGATCTAGAGACGAATTTGTGTCTGTTAGAGAAGGATTGAATTTCTGTCTCTAAATCTGTCAATAATGGAGACAGAAATATTTTCGTCCCTAATTCCCTTTCTATTTGCATAGGATTGTTATTTCATCACAAATTTCATTTCTATTCGAGATGGGTTTTTTTCCGTCTCTAAATTTTGTCTCTAATCCATGTTTTTTTAGTAGTGGAACGAGAGAAATAAATTGATCGAGATGCATGAAAACTATACCGATGGACCACAATCCCAAAAATAAATAAATAATACTTTTATCACAATATAACTTTCTAAATATAATCTAAATTACATGTCTCTCAAATAACTTATATACAACGATTACCAATATACTTGCTTTACGAACTATAATAATAGTAGTAGTAATAATAATGCAAAAACCGTTGACTTAAATAAATAACTCTTACTTACTCTGTTTGTTTTGCCACCCATATATTTATGGGGGTTGAAATTCTACTGTTGCAGGAAAATGCAACTCCTTCCAGCAGACAGCTATAGTGTAACATATTATGTTTTTTATTTTATTTTTTTAATTAAAATGGGCCCCACATCAAAAGTTTAACTATTGCAGGAGATTTGATTTTTCCTATCACACGATAACTATAATACTCTATATTTATATCAGGTAACCAAGTTCAACTTCAAATTAAAATTGTAACGTCAAATAATGGTAATCCGTTGACCATATAATGAGACAAAATAAGAAATTATGATAGGTGAGTTGTTCCGTCAAAATATTACCATTTATATATGTACTACAAACTATTATAAAAAAATAACGAAAAATCCATTGACTTAAAAAAAAAATTATGTTTGTACCCAAAAAAAAATTTATGATAGATTAGTTTTCCATTAAATAAATGATTCTTACTTACTCTATTTGTTTTTCCACTTATTTATGCCCGGTTAACGGAAGTCTGTTCAACATAAAATAATACGAAATAATAAATTAGGATTGGTACCACAAGCATATGCATGGATCAATTGAGTTTGAGTTTTGTAAATTGTTCCATCACGAGATTTTAGTAGGGTTTTTTTTAAGAGATTGGATGATATAATGTATAAAAACTCAATTTTTTGTATCCTATTTTAAATTTAGGGGATAAATCGCACACAATTAATTAAAGTCAAAGATTACTATTTCTCTTGAGAAATACTGAGATAATTTTATCTTCTGCACTAATATAAAAATGGATGATTAATCCACTTTTTTTTTCTATCCTCTCCCTCATAGGGTTCCACTCACATACATGTGTGATTGTGAGTGCAAGAGATAAATTTATTTTCATCTTGAAGGAGAAACATTAATTCGTTAAAGTTAAACAGTTTTTATTTTTCATTTCAGTATTTTTTTTAACAAACAATGTTTAATTTATGAACTACCTGAATCTGGGATCGAAGTTCACTCAGCCACATTAATTACTTGTATTTTACTTTACTTTTTATTATTCTAACAACAAATAGCCGTCATTTTTAAATATCCATAAAGGCTCAAATTTATATATAACGATTGTCTCTTGTTATAAAGATTGTCATTATAAGATTAATTAAATTACTCCACAAAGTCTTATAGCTTGTTTTATTTATTTTTAAATAGGTTTTTTATAATTTAAATGGATTCTTTTTATTTCTAAAAATTTAAAATTGGTTTCTATTGATGATGGCCATTAAATTTCGCTTGTAAAAAGTAAATGTTTACCATCATCTTCAAACCATTTTTCTTTTTTTTGGTAAATATCTTCAAACCATTTTAATTATGCTGTTACTAGTTTCAAAGACCAATATAACATTTTATAATTAGTATAAACCTAATTGAAATTTCAAATAAACTATAGAGATTTATTTTACATTTTATTATAAGTAAAGAGTTCTGAAAAAAAAGAAAAAAAATAAAGATTTATATGAAAATTTAATAAAATTTCATAGATCCACACTAAAGGTTGAAGTGAGGTGCCTTTCAACGATGAATTTGTGTGAATTATGATGTTTGACTCAGTTGTCATTATGATAAATGAAAAAAAAAAGTCTTTTCACTAATTAACAAGAGCTTGTTCCTCTTATTTAAAGAGAGTTGCCTTTATGATGGGTCTGATAATGACTAAACTAGACTAATCAAATAATTGTACTAAAAAAAAATATCACATGAAACTCACTAATTGTACTAAAAAAATAAATCATAACCTTATATTTTAATTGTTATGGATCTCTGACACGGCCAAGTAGCCAATCCTTACAAGCTTTTAAGCCTATGCCTTAATTACTCTCTTAGGTCAAGGCTAACACCCCCCACAATGACAACTCAACCTCCATTATAAATACAAGGTTTATGCCTCATGTAATAAATAAATAAAATCAACAAAGTCCGACACGATTGGTAGATAACTGACAGTAGTTCGATCTCTGGCCATGTGCATAAAAAAAACTTTATTGGAAGAGGCTGTATCCACAATCACGTGATCTCTCTACCGCAAGAGAATTAATCATTGACTTTCGACAAAGAATATACTTGGAATAATTTCCAAAAAAAAAGGACCGAAACAGGCTTATCTAATTTGCTGACGTGTTCAATCATATAACCCCGTAGCTCCTCCTCCTTCTCATCCTATCATTATAAAAGCCTCACTCCATGATGCATGGAACCAAACCTTCCATCTATACGTTTGCTATATATATTACAAGGAAAAATAAGATGGTTTTCATGGATTTGGAATGGTTGTTTCCAATTTTAAGTGTCCCTTTTGCTTCAGCAGTATTCACACTGGTGGCATTAATGGGAGGGTTATTGGGTTATTTGTATACGCCGTATTGGCGAGTAAGGAAGGTTCCAGGTCCACCATCTCTGCCCCTGCTAGGACACCTTCCTTTGCTGGCTAAGTATGGTCCTGATGTGTTCTCAATGCTCGCTAAGAAATATGGCCCAATCTACAGGTATCGTCCTGTCTTCTTCCATTTTACACAAATCTTTTTCAATTCAATCTATATAATTAATTAATATTCTTCTAAATACATGTAACGATTAGAAATTTTTATATGCGGCTGATATTAATTAATATTTTTGTATTTTTCAAAATAATTGGATTAATGAATATTTCAATTTAATCTATTATGATAAGTCTATTGTGATCATATTTAGTTGGATTTCTGATATTTGTTGTTATTGGGCTTAATTGGATGGTAGCGTAAGCTTTAATCTGATCCTAATTTTTCATGATGAGTGGATCCCATGGATACAAACTCTTTTCTAGGTAATTGGTTAAGTTCCCTTTCTAACTTATTTATATTGGGATTAAACCCCATGAGCCATCATGCTCTCATCGCTTTATAAGGCCACCAATTTTGGAAACTCTCATTGCTGAAGGCCGTCAATTTTGAAATAGGTCGTAGAGAGAAAAATCCTAATATGTAGTCCATTTTTCCTTCGGTTTTGTGATGATCAAAGATACACACTTCCTGACTTTGATTCCATATTAATTGAATATTTTATAATCATGTATATGATCCCGGTTTGATAAATCTTTCGTTACGTAGATCAATAAAAGCATCAAAATGATACCAATCTCTATTGGCACAATTATAGAACACAAGCAATCTCCTTAGGGACTAGCTGTGATGCACTCATATTTTTTTAACATTTTAGAGTCTTTTATCACATCTCTTATCTCTTAGGGAGGAAAATATATATTATCAACGGAGAATCGAACAATCGGCATATCATTTATTAAAGGAGAATATTATTCTCAAAGTGAAAGAATTTTTCTCTTATATACTAACGAATTAGAGAAGAGAGAATAGAGGAGAAAAAAATAAAGTGGACTCCACCTTTGATTTGCAAGTGCATGAGAGAAAAATTCTCTAGTGTAACATGAGAGTAATATTCTCCTTCATTAATTATGATAAAAAAATAATATATTTATACTACTCATATCTTTATAATTATTTTTACTCATATTTCAATTTTTTCCCTTTTAATAAGGGAATAAATATTTCCGTAACACTGAAAATATGCTACTTGATTAATTACGAGGATGACAAGCTAAAGCGCTAAAACCACTCCAATATTTCGTATCAACACCCATCTCCTTACTTGATTTAAGGATAAATTTTTCTTTGCTAATGTCATTTAATGCAACTATCAACTAATGAGTTGTTCCGCCAATTAATTTTTTCTTCTCATGAGATTTTATTTCATACTTTATAATTAAGAGATTAATCTTTATTTGAAGTATTAATATTATCCCTTCTACCAAGCTCTTTCATGAGGAATCGAACCTCGGATTGCAGTGGTCCCTTCTTTGATTCTGAACTAAAACTTTGTTTATCAGTTTGGGTTAATCATATTTTTATTGTTTGTATACTGACCCTAATTATCTCTTTCAGGCGAGTTGCCCTCCGAGTATCCCAACAAGTTTTACTTTTTGAGTCGACTACGAAACTAATTTCGAATCAGAACTTAATCGCAATTAAAGCTCTTCGCTCCTCCGAAAGTTATATTTTGTGGGAATCGAACTTGCTAATCATATTTTATTTATAGAAGCTATATAGCCAACTCAAACTTACTAATTAACTAATTTGCTAACTAAACTAACTACTACTTGTGACAATCATATTAGTAACCACAGTATTTTATTAATTTTCTTCTTTTCTTCCTCTTCGTTGATTGAGAAGAAAAAATATTATACTTTTGATGTGATTTAAAATTAGAATAAACGTTTATTTTAATCTTTTAACTATATTAATTATGTGCATCACATTAGTTTTTTTTTAAAGGTAACATCATATAATTCGTTCTTCGTTGACAATTATGTTATTAGTATTTCTTTTCATTAAAAACCAATTTGATAATATTGCTGACTAATGTGATATTTTACGTATAAAATAATGAAAATGTACGTTTAAATCTTGCATATAAAACATAAGAGAGGGTTATATTTACATCATATTTTCACTTACAACATCTTATAATCAAATTTTAATCGTTAATTCTCTATAATTTAACGGTTATAATTTATTAGGTAATATTTATTAATTAATTATTAATATTCAATAAATTATAACCGTCAAATTAACTGAAATTAATAGTTAAGATTTGATATAAATTGTTGTAAGCGAAAAGAGATTTTAAATATAAACCTTTCTCAAAATATAAATATTCAAAACCTTCAATCTCCTTTTTGGAAGATCTTCGGCCGAGTAATGAGGACAGCTAATCTTTGAACTGTGTGCTAGTTTTCAAACAAAAAGGGGATCAGCGCCAGCATCGCCATCCTTTCAGCCTTAGTTGAATATGATGAAATCCTCATTTTTTCAGTACACAAAATCCTCATTTTATTTAATATAAATACTAATTATACCTTCTATTCTAAGCTCTTAGTTAATTTTCTCTTATGAAAAAGAACGTAACACACTATATTTTCACACCCAAGTCTGTGCTCAGGAGTTGAGTACATGATATGGTTGTCACTTGTCATCACAAAGTGTGTTTCACGTATGTTTGAATCCATGCAAGTAAAGTTTGCTTAAATAAAATACATAGTGTGAAGTTAGTAGTCACGCTTTATAATTCTAGCTATTAACATAATTAATTAATGTTAAGACTAAAGATAGAAGTTAAAAAATAACTATCACAGATACACACTTATTGACACATGAATTAATTTTTTTAATATTATAAAAATGACACGGATACGATTAATATATACAAATAATATAAAAATTTAAATTAAAATAAGCATATTAATATTCCATAACTCACTAATTGTGAATATAATAAATATTATTCTTTATTTTTATTTTTTGGTGTGGTATTCTTTATCTAATTGTTATAGTTTTTTGTTTATAGATTGTATAAATATTTTAAAAAGAATTTAAAACTATAAGTAAAAGTTCCCAAAAATATATAATATAATAGATATCCGATATCCGATATCCAAACCATTTTAAAATATGAGTAATATATCTCTTATGTGATAGCAGATCAATGTTTTTTCCACAGACACAAAAAGCAATGGGCTCCACCTGTGTTTAATTTTCTCTTTCTATTATCTGTGCGCCATACTTGTGAAATATGTCTGTAGCAGAAGATTTATAAGTTTAGCAGAAGAATTATAAATCCCTTAAAATATTATCATAACCACCCAGCAATAGTACCCATCCCAAATCTTACAGTTCATTCACTTCTCATGTTTACAAAAGCAGTATATCCATATGTTTGATAACTTTTTTGGGGTTTGTGCTGCATATAAAAAATGTTAAATTAATTTATCGTCACTTATATATATATATATATATATATATATATATATATATATATATATATATTGCATAATAATCTATTATCTTTTTTAATAAAATAATAATCCAATAATGATAATTATTTCTTAATATGAAATTTTTTTTTAAGGTATTATTATTTCTCATATTGTAGGAAATAATTTATCTATAGTTTTATCTCCTACATAGCTCATTTTTTTTTCAATTTTTTTCACATGAAACCACATGAGCCCATACATTTTTATGTGTGTGTAGGCGATAAAATTATATTCTACAACATAAGAAATATTAATAATTTCTTTTAATTGTATATTAACGCATTAAATAAGTGCTCGTGAATTAAAATTAAATTCAAAGATAATTGCCTTTAATTCTCCTCTAGATTCATCTGGCATTCAAGTTTTCTTTAGGTACCAAGAAAAAACACCGTTGTAATCTATGAAACATCGACACTTCAAAGATACTCCGACACTCCAACACGTATTGCAGAGACTCAAAAAATGATTAAAATATTGTGTTGCGTTGCATTTTTAGTACCAACTATTAGACTCATTAGATTATCATTATCATTTTATTGCGTTTAATATACATAATTAGGATATCTTATGTTTTTTTTGTAAAATTGATTGGTATTATAAGTCTAGCTTCACTTTTTTGTTAAATTATTGAATATTAAATATAATATACACTACATAAATTAAAAATGTTATTTAATATCAAAACGTATCTTAACGTGTCAAAATTTAATATTTTTTAGAATTAACTTGTCAGAGTGTCGTGTCGTATCGTATCTCGTGTTCCGTGTCCGTGTCAGTGTCGGTGTAACATCGGTTGTAATTCCCATTTTTTTTCCCATGAACTTCATTAAAATAATGTTATACTATTGAAAAGAATTAGCCATGTCTGGACCACCCTAACTGGCCCTGTCCTAAGGCCCATTTAATGATTATTATTTTACTTCGGTGGGAATTTTAGACTCATATCTCTCACTTATTCATCTCAACACGTCAAAATGCACTTGGAAGTATTACTGTTGGAAAAAAAAACACCAAAATATCACGTTAACAGTAAATTTTGCTAAAATGTCACGTGGCATATTTCGCTACACTGTGTAGCGAAATATATGTGTAAATAATTCGCTACACGGTGTAGCGAAATATGCCACGTCAGAACCAAAAATGTCACGTGTCACACACGGAGAATTTTGCTACACAGTGTAGTGAAATTCTCCCTGTCTAACACGTGGTATTTTTGGTTCTGTGCATTCTGATGTTGCATATTTCGCTATACCGTGTAGCGAATTATTTGCACACATATTTCGCTACACAGTGTAACGAAATATGCCACGTAGTATTTTGACAAAATTTACTGTTAGTGTGACATTTTGGTTTTTTTTTGCCAACAGTGACAAAATGATCACTGTTCCCTTAGTACACACACAATAGTGAATTCACTAGGCAAAACAATCATAAATCTTTCTCTTAAATAGGAAATATTTTTTTACTTACAAATACTCTTTTTTAGTAATTGAAGAGACATTTTGCATTCTTTCCCCAAATTCTATATCACTATCCCCTTTCTCAACCTTCAATGAGATACTCATAGTGACTCTCCTCCATAAAATTTCCGTCTATTCCATTGTATCTAATTAAGAACACTTTTAGTAGTACTCCACCCTATCAACGAAATAGATCTAAGCTCTTCAAAAAAGTTCAAGCCATAATCTTTTTAAGAATATGATTAGATTTAATGGAGCAAGTCTTCATGCAAAAAGTTGTAAAAAAAAAAATCTTTATCGTGTAGCATTTTCATTTTCACTATCACTGTTTATTAATGGTATTCCTATCGTTTACTCAGCAGATTTCACATGGGAAGACAACCCCTAGTAATTGTAGCAGATGCTGAGCTTTGTAAAGAGGTTGGAATAAAAAAATTTAAACACTTTCGAAACAGAAGCATTCCATCACCTGTTTCTGCTTCCTCTATTCATCAAAAGGGTATTTTCAACAGCAGGTACGCAAATTGCAATATTTTGATTTTTTTCTTTTTTTTCTTTTGTAAAGCAAGATATAAAGAAAACTTAGCACACAAAGAACTGAACATATTGCAATATTTTTGTAAAGAATGAATTCAACTTAAAAAGGTTAAGCTCTTACGTGAAAGTTTCTTTAATGATTTATATTATTATGACTTCTTATAAGAGAGCTCATTGGGCTTGAAAGATGAATAATACATCAGGCTCAGCCTATCTGTGTTAAGAAATTCTACAAGAGAAAGTGGGGATGGAGAAGATCGAACTCGTGACCTTGCGGTCACTGAAGCTCTGATATATATATATATTAAGAATCAATTTAACCCAAAAGCTTAAGTTGTTAAGTGAAAGCCTCTTTAATGGTTTATATTATATTCTGACAATTTTGATTGTTTTTGCAACTTTTGGGATGCAGGGATTCACAATGGTCTACCATGCGGAACGCCATATTGTCAGTGTACCAACCATCACACTTATCCAGATTAGTCCCACAAATGCAGTCAATTATAGAATCTGCAACCCAAAATGTTGACTCTCATAATAAGGAAGACAACAATTTTTCTGATATATTCCTCAGACTTGCAACTGATGTGATAGGAGAGGCAGCTTTTGGTGTTAACTTTGGCCTCTCTAGGCCTCATTCATTCTGTGATTCAATGAAAAGTGTTAATAACAAAGATTTGGGGGATGTAGGTGGTGTTAGTGATGAATTATCAGATTTCATCAATCAACACATCTACTCTACAACACAACTTAAGATGGATTTATCTGGTTCCTTTTCCATGATACTTGGTCTAATTCTCCCAATACTTCAGAAACCATTCAGGCAGATTTTGAAGAGAATACCAGGCACCATGGACTGGAAAATGGAACACACTGATAAGAAATTGAGTGGCCTTCTTGATGGCATTGTGGGAAAGAGAATGAAAGATAGGAACCTAAGTACTTCAAAGGATTTCTTGTCACTCATACTAAATGCTAAAAATGTCTTCACACCTGATTACATTAGTGCTGTGACTTATGAACACTTACTTGCTGGGTCAGCAACCACAGCCTTTACATTGTCTTCCATTCTGTATCTGGTAGCCTCCCATCCCCAAGTTGAGACAAAATTGCTTCAAGAAATTGATGGGTTAGGTCCACGAAATCAGACACCCACTTCTCATGACCTTAATCACAAATTTCCTTATCTTGATCAGGTTAGTACCTTCTTGAACTTGAACTTGAACTTCTTGAAATTTTAGTTAGTCAAAATTTGAAGAATTTGCAAGCGCCAAAAGCAAATATATAATATAATCTATATATGCAGGTGATCAAGGAGGCAATGAGGCTTTACACTGTTTCCCCCTTAGTTGCAAGAGAAACATCAGATGAAGTAGAGATTGGAGGTTATCTTCTTCCAAAGGTAACTTACATAGATATACATCTGCATGAAACATGCACAATTGCATGATATACAGGGATTTCTTTTTTGGGTATATTAAATCTTCATAAAGGAGAGCTTTTGTTTTGTGTTGTTTTGTGTATTGTGTAAGCAGGGAACATGGGTATGGTTAGCACTTGGAGTCCTAGCAAAAGATCAAAGAAACTTTGCAGAGCCAGAAAAATTCAAACCAGAGAGGTTTGACCCCGAATGTGAAGAAATGAAACGAAGGCATCCTTATGCATTTATACCATTTGGAATTGGACCTCGGTCTTGCGTTGGTGATAAATTTGCCCTACAAGAGATGAAGCTCTCTCTTATTCATCTATACCAGAAATATGTGTTTCGGCATTCACCTAATATGGAAAAACCAGTGGAAATCGAATATGGGATAGTCCTCAACTTCAAGAACGATATCAAGCTCAGAGCAATAAAAAGGACATAGTGGAATTGCTAAGTAAACCGTTTAGGTTGAAGCCATAGTCTACTCTAGAAGATGAATAATAAATATATAGTTTATTAAAGTGTGCTAGATCCAAGAGTGAAATAGTGTCATAATACATATTAAAGTAAGTTTTTTTTTTTGTTTTTTTTAATGAATATAATAAGGGCATACGTTTTGCTGTTGTATTTGAAGGAATTTATTTCAGTATGTTCTGGCTCAAGATTTAAGTCCTCTGGCTCACTATTTCGAATCGCATCGTCACTCCACCTTTGCTAGTGGGTCTAGCTATCTTTGAGCTCTTGATGATAATTGTTATTGCGCTCCCACCCTATTTATGTTTCTTCTAGTTATAGTATTTTGGATTGGTATCTCTCTGTGTAGTACCTTATTTAATTTACCACTCAGATTGCAATAATATTGCTTTATGCTCTGTTATTTTGATTTGATGCTATTTAATTTGTATATCTGGTGGGGGGTTCTGATAGTTGTGGACTACACTCTATTCTTTTGTTTCTGTCCAAGACTAATTATGGCACCAAGGAAGGAAAATCCTTGAATTTGAATAACTTTAAGCTATAAGCCTATAATCAAAGAGGAAAGCTATAAACCACCTATAGTTAGCGCTCTCAGTGCTGCTGAATTCATTTTGTTTCAAGACAAGGATGCAAATATGAAGTTTAAAATTAGAGGGTAATATGGTCGCTATGTGCAGGTCCAAAAAAAAGGTTAGTGTGACTTTATAATTATTAAAAGAATAATATAAATAATATATCTTTACCTACTTTAAATTTTTTTTTAGTTGAATTGATTTTTTATCATGATATTTCAAAGTTGCTTTTACATAAAGCTAATCACATGAATTATCAGACCTATAACCTTCGAGTCACAAGTACGGGAGAACATACTATCAAGCACGTTGATCAACTGGTAACGGATTATTCCAGCTTAATTAATGGTCTTGATTCGAGTCCGTAGAAATGCAATTGTGTTAAAATTTGATAGGGAGAGATTTGCCTCCTATATAATTCTACCCAGCTCAAATTGGACTAATCAATCAATTGATGAACTCTCACATTGGTTAAAAATATGCTAAACGAGGACCATATAAGTGAAAGGGTTCATAAATTTAATGCCTTAAAAATTTTGGTTGAGACGTGATATCCTGATCCCTTATAATATAGAGTTTGTAGCTTGGCCATTTTGACGGGCACCCCTCGTGACCCAACAAAATGATGCTTTTCAAAAGCTAAGAATTATTTATAGGAAGAATAGTGAGTTTGGAATACTTTGCCATTTACAATACTTGTGATCACGAATCAATTTTCTTCTGTGTCGCAATTCGTAACTATGACGAGTTTATGTAATAGCCCTGAGTTAGAGCATTGGCAGCTGTGTTAGTTTGGAGCCTAATGCTTGGAATCTTAAAACTGTTGAATACCGAACCTTGTTCCGCTACTTTATTTAAGTTGTTCTGCTCAAGCAAGCCAGACAAAATGTTCGTAGTTTGTTGTCTATCTTCTTTGTATGTTATGCTACGAAGGAAAGAGATTGAACTTGGGCTACATTATTTTCAATAGGATGAAAAAACTGCTTAGGAAAGCCAAAGGTCATTTGCCATATGGTATGGTAATCACAAAGATTCTTCAAGCCATTGATATTGCAATTCCTTCTAACGTGGCAATTCAAGAATTACATCCTCGAAGCAATTATTGTAACGAATAGATGAAGTACATGAAGTTTAAAACTTAAAAAGCTTTATATTTTTGTTATGCATATATAATGCAATCTCTTCTATTCATTTTTGTGGTGCGTTATGTTCTTAATTTTGGACTGTATATTGCATTTAACCTTTTAATGCCGAAGGGGGAGAAAGGACATGTTTACAAGTCTCTTTTAAGGAAGCATAAGTTAAGGGGGAGCATTCCTTACTAATTTTATTTTTTTAAGATGTTGAATTACAGTATTATCTGCTGCCAACTCTGACAAACTATGTTATTGTCATGTTCATTTTTGTTTCTCGTGTCATCATCAAAATGGGAGAGAATGTTGGGTTATGATAGATTTGATTTTAAGTATGTGGTTTATTTTGTTGAGTTTAATAAGTGCTTTGATTCTTTTCCTTTATGCATATTCTTTCCGTTATACTTTGGTCATACTCTATTCTTTCTCTTTGCTATTACACTTCGACTTGCTATTCATCTATTCAGAGAGTCTTGAAATCATTGGACTTTATACATAAGAGCAACCAAAACCTTAGGTGTTTAGTATCTGTTCTAATTAATTAGAAGGAAAAGGGTATCGGTAGCATTCAAGGTATTTCTTACAACCTAGTGTACTCTATTTTGAGTTAAGATAGAGGGAGGTTTTGTGGTGTTCATTGGAAAAAAGAGTCACTAATTTGGGTTGAGATAGAGAAAGGTTCTTTGGGATCGATTGCTTGGGATTAAATGCAGGACAGTCACCATGACCCAAGGTAAATTCTTTATTCTCTCATTTCCTATTTTTCTACGAATTTGGATTTCAATTGCTCGTAGGTTCAATTTTATACTTTTTTTCTGGTTGAGCCCACGAAATAAATTCACTCCACGTCTCTGAAACACGGATACGCAATTTTTGGAGAAAAATGCGTGTGCGACACGTGTCCGACACGGACACACGTTCGGACACGTGTTCGACACGCGATCAACGTATGTGGACACGTTTTGACATTTTTTTATAAAAAAGAAATAAAATTACAATTAAAAAAAATAAAAAATATTTAATAAAAAGAAAAAATCTGTAACCCTATGTTATTAGAACCGGACCGATCATTGATCCGGTCTAGATACCGGGTCACTGGGTCAATGGTTCAACCGGTGGGTCACTGGTTGAACCGCATGAACCGGATATATATATATATATATAAATTTATATTTTATACTTAATTATATAATAAATATATTAAATGGTGCCATCTACACAATAACTTGATGTAGTTTAGTGGTATTGGCTATGTTGTTTATCCTTAATGCAAGGGGTTCGAACCCCATTACATAATAAATATATTAAATGATATAAATTATTCAACAAGTGATAATGGTGTTGTGGTAGGAAACGGCTCTCCTCACTCCAAGGTAGTGGCTTCGAATCCCACTTCTTTCAAAAAAAGATTTTTTAACTAATTTTGAAAAACCGATTTGAAGGGAAATCGGTACGTGGTTTATGACCGGTCACTGGGTCAATGCCGAGTCGATTACTTAAGCGGTCCAATGTTATAACCGGACCAGTTGATGGGCCGGTTTCCCGGTCAACCGGCCGGTTTTAATAACATTGAACCCTATCCTTTCTTGTTCGTTGACGGCTTGACGTTCTTCGATTCTCAAATCTCTCGGTAAGTCTGTTCTTGAAAGGTAATCAAAACTTCAGAGTGTAAACCAACCTTCACTTCCACCACCTTACAACACACAACAACAAACCTTGATTAGAGTCACATAGCTGAAAACAAAAAGGATCAAATAGATTGTGAGTTTGTGATCTACTCTTACATTTGTCATTCCGCTTCACTATATATATGTGTGTGGAAAAGCAGGACAGGATTCAAAATCTGAGGGAAAAATTGGTACCAAAAGTTTCTGTTTTCACAAACCTTTTAACAGGTGAGGAGCATTTAGAAGAAAAAGGGTACTATGGTTTTAACTTTGTATGTCTTGGACAGAGCATATGACATAGAACAACCTTTTATATAAATAAGCAACGCTGCACCAGTGAAGAAGGAATTGAAAAGGTACTTGGAAAAGTGCCATGAAGTTTGTTCATCTGTAGAATTAGTGGACAACATCTTATCCATTGATAAACGATTTTTGGTGTTACTCCCTTGTTTGCTAGTCCTTGTGTAGGTTGCTGCCAAAAAGAATGAAAAAGAGATACCAGGTTTCCAATTTTTAAGTTAAAATATTTAATTAGTATATGAGTTATTTTGAGTTTTTTTTGTAAACATGAATTATTATAAGTTGTTATATGTATTAAATGATAATAATATTATATATATTAAAAATATTATTTAATATCAAAACGTGTCTCAACGTGTCAAAATTTAACATTTTTTAGAATATCTATCGTGTCGTATTCTATTTCCGTGCATCATTGCTCCACGCAGCACCTCCTATCTCAAGAATATCATATCAGATTCTCAGTCTCTAATATAGCCCCTAACACGTGTTAATCTTGGTAAGTCCAGAAGAGGGCACCGCAAAAGCACTGAACTCGCATTTGATTGCAGAGACCAAATTTTGTTGAAACTTGAAAGTGACCTAGGAAAAAATATCCATACATACATCCAAAACGGCACTATAAGTATACCCAATACGAAAAGTATTTAACATATATTTAATATTTAACATAAAAGATATTAAAGACCATACATACAATTGATAGAAAATATATCATAGACTAGAAACTTCGAGACTCAATATTCCATAGTCTCTTTCAAAGCAAAGTCTTTGAAACTTCTTGCAAATTACCTTAAGAGACTTGGATCATTCTCATCCACATCCTTAATATCACGAGTCACAACCTATTTTCGTACGCTAATTTCTATGTATATAAACCCTTCATGTCTACAATATATGAGCATATAACTGTTGACAGCTTTAGTGAAGAAACAACATCAAAAGAAGAGTAGAGACCGAGAAGTTTATCATATTCATATACCCTTTTATGCTCTTTTCCAATATGTGTCCTCTAACCCTCAATGACTTGCAGAGGATTTTTGAGAAGCTGGATATGAACAGCGATGGGTTTTTGAGCCTTGAAGAGCTGAACAAGCTGCTAGAGAAGACAGGCTTTAAGTTTAGCTTAGAGGAGCTAGAATCTCTAGTGGGAAAGAAGAGCCTCAACTTCAGTGAGTTCTTGTTCTTCTATGACTCCATGTTGAAGCAGAACAGTGAGGAGGAGAAAGGGGTTGATGGAGACAATGATGATGATGAGATTGAAGATGTAGAGAGTGACCTTGTGAAGGCTTTCAAGGTGTTTGATTTGGATGGGGATGGATTCATTACCAGCCAAGAGCTGGAGTGTGTATTGAAGAGGCTTGGCATGTGGGATGAACGGAGTTGCAAGGATTGCAGAACCATGATTTATTCCTATGATACTAATTTGGATGGCAAGCTTGATTTCCAGGAATTCAAGAACATGATGCTGCTTACAACTTCATGATTCGTTTAATTTTGTGCATGATCAGCTTCGACCTGGCCTTGCATTTTGTATGTATTTGTGTTGTGTGTTTGTGTATGTTATATGTCAGCAGCAATCAATCACTGCTATGGAATATTCAAGTCTATTGTTGCTGTTGCTGGTAATGCAAAGTTGTCTATGCTATAATCAGTGTTTTGTAAATACTTATGTTCTGATTAAGATGAAAACTGAAACAGAGAATAAGACGGTCTCAGCAGTTCTTGCATATAATTCTGCTAAAAGTCAATTATAATGCAGATAGTCATATGTTCGAGAGATAACATCTTAGAAAAATATAAAATTATTAACGTGCATCGTTTTAAAGCTTAAGCTATTAGTTAAGATGGTTTCTTCACAAGGATGATAATTACGGGTTACAGTTCAATTCTTATCATTTTTTACTTTTTAATGGAATTAAGAGATATAATATAGGGGTTTGCATTTATCATGTCACATGATAATCACAAATTTTTTTACACATACAACATTTTGTGGAGCTTATATTTTTTGAAATAAAATAAAAATAAAAATTTAAGACACGAAAAATGAATCTTTATAACATGACAAGTTTAATTTTTCTACAACATAACTTTTATAAAACTCTATAATATATTAGAGAAATATAAAATCATTAATGAATCTTCATTTACAAACTTAAACTTTTGGGTTGAATTTGTTGTTTTATATGGTATCAAAATCAAAATTTAAATTAGCCTTATAGTTGGTTCAAAGAGTTAAAATTTGTAGAAATATCAAGAGGAATTAAGTTACTTCAAAGAGATAATTATGGTTGGATTAAATAAAAAAATAAAAAAAAATCAACCTGACTAAGTGGTTAGGCTTGATGCATCACATCACCTACTGATCCTTTTTATGTATTGGCATTACGTTTCTGTAGTTGATGTAGAAAGTAAGCCTCTGCTACAGAGACAAAATCCTAAATCCACTAATTTAAAAAATAAAAAAATAGCACCATGTTGACGTGAGAGCAATTGCAGAAATCATTTCTGCATTTGATACAGAAATGGTTTTCTCTTTAATTATGTATATTACTTTCTAAAGAAAATGGTTAACGGGGGAAAAAAATGTATAGTCCTTGCTATATTTATTTCCTGAAGTAGTGAACAGAAGTGACCTAGTCATCGAAAATATCCATTGTCCAGCATCACTTGGTAGAAAAATCTAATGTTGCATTCAACTAGTTGTCAAAGAAACTCACAAAAAGATTATTTTACAAGTCATAACGCGCGAATGACAATGCAATCAAATCAATAATTGAAGGTTATATTGACTTGGCTAATTGAATATATTTCTAAACCCATGGGCGGTGTGGACCTTGGCACATATGTCATGGTCACGCACTCACACAGACACTCTAGACCGTGGGCCGTGTGTATTGTGGCAAATATGTCATTGTCAACACTCTATCACACACACACACTAAACCCTAGGGCGGTGTATCTTGATAAATATGTGAAGGTGACACGTACACATACACAATATTAGATATTATATCTGTGAGAAGAGCTAATATTTGATATATAATTATAACATGGTCTGAATTGATTTTATTTTAAATTAATTGTAATTATCCATATAAGAGTTGATAATCAAGATTAGTTTTTATACACTTATAAGTAGGGGTGTTCGTGGTCTGGATTTGATCGGTTTTAGAAGTAAAAATCATCTTATCCAATACCTTTGGTTTGATCATTTAATCATCCATTCAGTTTGGATTTTTTTCCAAATCTGATCCGATCCAATCCAAATTTTTTTTGGTTTGGATTGGATCGGTTTTTGGTTTTTTGAAAATCTTAAAATTTGTTTCATGATTATTATGCAAATAACATCTTTTGTATATATTGGCTTGTAATTTTATTTTTTTTGAAATACAAAAGTATCATTAAAAGATAATATAATTTATTTTTTGGGCAATGAGATATGAAGCTCTACACAGATTAAATTTTGTTGATGAGAAGTGATTAGATTTTTTCTTGGGTGTAATTGATGGGTTAACAAGTGTTGGGTTTAGAAATTTTTGGGTTATGATTGGGGTAAAAGCCAAGTAGGTAAAGAAAAATTAATATATTGGATCAGTTTGGATTGAATCGGTTTTCATCAACTCATCCGAAAATCAATCCAATCCAATTAAAATTTGCGGGTTTTTTTTCGGTTTTCGGTTTATTCGGTTATTGGTTTTTCGGTTTGGTCACCGCGGTTTGAATCGGTTGATGAACACCCCTACTTATAAGTCTAGTCTTATACGCTTCATGACATATTGTAGACTTTTATTGAAGACTTCCATTGTTTCGCTTTTTCTACCGTCAATGTAGATAACTTATCTATATTGAGTTCAAAATGATGTCGTTTTAAGATAAAAATCAATGTATTTTTGTAATTATAATTTATTTCAGGGTTATAATAGTCTTTCTCATTATAATTTTTTTAATTTTTTAATCTAAAACGACGTCGTTTTAGGAGCGAATGTAGATAACTTATCTACATTCAGTTTAGAAACATTAAAGTCTTCTTTTAAATAGTGAAATTATACATATATAGTGTAAAATCTACTTTTATTTAATTATAATGTAAAAAATGGAATCTTATGGTTAGGAGTTAGGACTTAGAACCATATGCCACTCACAAAGGTTGGTTGTGTCTAGAGGAAATCTATTCTTTATTTGACATCATATACTTGAACGACCTCAACGGAATGGAGCCCACACGAAAATATCGAAAGTTATAATCAACTTTGTGTGTTTTAGGGATAAATTATTCTATCTACCATTTTTTTTGCCTACCTTTGTCTACCACCCTTCAATACCGTTAGATCAGAATTTCAATAAGAGAGAGAAATAAAAAATATAATTAGGATTCTGATCTAACGATGTTGAAAGTGGTAGGCAAAAGTAAACAGAAAGAATGGTAAGTAAAATAACCTATCCCTATTTTTTATGAGCCACTGGTTAAAAATTCACTCATTTTCTTTGAGTCTTATTATAAGAAATAGTTCTTGAAGGTGAAGGAAATTTTTCTTCTATCTCCCATACGGTTTGTTGCAACGGAAAAGCAAACAGAAGGAAATTAACATTGAAATTGAAAATGGGCTGGTTTCGCGCACACACTTATGGGCCTCACCCCTTGCATCTCCGCTTCTGGACTTGGGCTCTAATATCTATCTAGTGGCTAATACAAGAAGCATCAATGAAGTAGGCTTCGGGTACCATTTCCAATTTCCATATAAATATTAGAGATATGTTATTTGTACTCATTGATTATTGGGTTCCCTTTTTGTCATTTGACATGACAAGAGCACTTTCCTACACACACAAATCAAGTGTGGGTCTCATGCTTAAAAAAAAAAATCAAACCAAAATCAGGATACGACGCCGTATCTTTGTTGCAGGAATGATTCTTATATTTCCCTTGATTATTTGGCTCCTCCTTATCACTGGTTTTCTTGAGAATTGGGCACGTGAAAGTTGACTTAGAATATAATAGAGGTTGTAGCGGTCCTCTTTGTGGAAAATTAAGGAGATCATGGATAATGAAGCCAAAGGCAGGTGCATTTGCACATTGCAGTGATAATCACGCATGCAATATTAGGTATAATGAAAATGAAGAGAGTCAAGGTTAAGTGCTACTTACTAACTACTAGAGTCAGTGGTTCGATTACCCATCACCGACTAGCTTGTTGCCGGCAAGACGGTGACAAACTCGTGATGACATTAAGACAACTATGGAGGAAGTTTGCACAAAAATAAAAAAATCATGAGCAAATGAGTTTTTTTATTTTTTATTTTCACCTAACGAGGGTCAAATGTATAGTTTATTGGTAAAACTTTTGTTTGATACATTACCTCTTGTATTTTCTTTTCTCTATAAGAAAATCATTTTGTATGTTCTGACATGTACACTTCTTTCGTATCGATATCTGTATAATAATTATATAAGCAAAACAAGATGCAAAAATTAAAAAATATTCAAAGATGTGATATGATTTTTAAAAGTGAACTAGAATTTTGTATAATTTATCGATTTTGTGAGTAATATTCAATAAGTGTTCCTTTTACGGAACAAATACTCCCCAATGTATATATGCAATGTCAATCAAGCGTTTTTTGGATATGCATAATTTTTTTCTTTTTTTGGTAGACTAATTTTTTCTTTGATTTGATATTAAAGTTGAATTATCAAACATTTTATTAGTTTTTAGTTATATTTAAAGGTTTTAACAAGCATTTTTAAAATAGTAGTTAACTAAAAATAATTATCAAACAAAAAGTGCAAAATTAATATTTTTTAAAGGAAAAAAAGTTTCCGATGCTACTTTAGATAACTTTATCTAATGTTCATCGAAACAACGTCTTTTTGGAGTTGAAAAATTAAAAAAATTAGAATGATAAAGACTATTATAACCCTGAAATAAATTAAAATTACGAAAATACCATGATTTCCGTCCCAAAACGACTTCGTTTTGATGAACATTAGATAAAGTTATCTAAAGTAACATCGAAAAAAACAAACCATATTTTAAAAACAAAAAATATTAGTTTTAACATAATTAAAAGATTTAATATAATATACTAAATATTCCTTAAAAATACACCTTAAAAGAATCCAGATTTAATAATCTTTCAAATATTGATCATAAAATCAATGTAAATACTTAACTATCAAACCCATCGCAGCATAGCAATCCCTCCGTCAAATACGTACACAATTTTGTCTCATTTGCGATTGCGAGTAATGGCTCTTAAAGTGCATTTTCCAAAAATATAAAAGAAAAAAGTGTGGCTAAAATTATCTGGCTCACAATTTCACAAAGGCACCAAATGAGCAAGGGATTTCTGTGGACATAGCTATATTAAATAATATTAATTCTCAATTAATGGACTTGTCAAGGCTATATTCAAGACAATTACATCATGGTTACACCACCTTATTTGTTTAGGAAATAAAAGATACAGAAAGTGGCGGTTAAGAATAGATGAATAACTTATCTGCAGTAAATCCCATACGACGTCGTTTTGGGATGAAAATTATTATATTTTTGTAATTTTAATTTATTTCAAGATATTTATAATCTTTATAATTATAATTTTTAAATTTTTCAATATCAAAACAACGTTATTTTAATTATAAATACAGATAATTTATTTGCAATACCTTATCATTTTGTGCTCTTCACGCTATAAAGTAGAACCAAACAAACCACCTGAAGGCCGA